TACGAGAAACGCTCGACGCGAGTTATGGGCGGTACGGAAAAAACGGCGAAGACGAAGGAGGACGAAAAAGAGGAGAAGGGAGGGGGAGGGCGTCCGGCGGAGGAGAACGGTGAAATTTATTGCGAGCAACTTTTTATCTGACAAATCTCGGGGGCGGGTCTGATTGAGGGACGGGTCGTCCTTTCGCGAGAGGCATCGGCCGGAGCCACCGTGTAGCGACGTAACGTAGAATTATCGACGGGCCTGCCTAATGATTCTCTTGCATCCCCTCGTTGCTCATGCGAACCTTTTAATCCTTCTGACGGGGAACACCGTGTTCGGCTTGCAACGGCTTTACGGGATTGAAACGCGACGACTAGCCTTCGCTAGTAGATGAAAGACGCGTCTCGGCGGAAATCACTTATCGGCCATCAAATCACGGAATTATTCGCGAGATATTAAATTCCCTCGAGCACTTTTGACACGAACGTGCAAGCACTCACGGGTCAACGATAACGCAAACGACGGCGTCCTTGAACCTTCGGCCAGAAGAGAGCTTGACCCTTGACTGCTTCGAGACGAGCGGAAAATATGATTCTTTATCAGAGATGTGGTTTCGCATGTGTGTGTGTGTGTGTGTGTGTGTGTGTGTGTACGCGCGAGCGCATATGTGTATGATCATCGAGAAGAAGAACGTAAAGGAATACACAAATGTACGGAGGATGCGGTGACGTGCGAAAGAGCGCTTTGAAGTAGCGCATCGGGATTCCCCGACTTCCTGCAATTCGTCGGAGCGGTCGCGCAGGCGAATTCGATTTCCTTGAGAATCCTAAGCGTAAAGCCATCTCGAGGATGCTGGCAGGAAAATTAGCCGCCCGATCGACTGCGAATGCGGCAGCTCCGCCGGCTCTTGTGTACGCGGACGAGTTAGTTCCTGCAGAAGTAAGACACGTTCGTCGCAATTTCGAGGATCCCGTGAGTCGAAATGGAACAGAAGTAAAGGCGCCAGCCTTTTGCTTCTGTTCTATTTTCGCTACGATACTTTTCACATCTCACACGAACGCACAAGTGATTCCGATATGAAACGTGCGACATATTTACAATTGGAGCAGTTCTCTTTAATTGGCGTATTTACTTTAAACTCGGGCTTTAATGTAGAATTCCATGCGCATAGAATCTTCTCGAGAAGCGTTTTCGGCCGAAACCGTGAAAAAATGCGGAGTTTCATTTCGATCTGGCCGACGTGACTGCCGGTTCGGTCATCGTCGCCCAGAGACGCGTTAGCTATTACGAATTCTGTAACGCGGCCGAGCAGAACGCGGTAGAGATGCATGTGCATCCTGACGGAAAGCGGCGGCGGCGGCGGCGGTGTCCTGTGGGAAATACGGCGACATTATGTGCGCACGTCGAACGCTAGGAAATTTAATATCTGAATCAACATCGCCGACTACTCTTGCTCTTCACGGCCGGCGGAGACCACCGACCGTTGATTTAACCAGCCGACCGACGGACTCGGTTCCCAAGACATCGATACGCGTCTGTCTGCCGTGTCGTTCGCGCGGCAAAAACCGAGATATTCTCTCCGTGGCGCGAGAGCGAGCCGCTGGCATATTTTTAACTGGATCGAGCCGTCGCATCTCTGCGGAGGGTAGCGAACTCCATCCAATTCCGGCAAGCGGCAAGACGAACTCTCGAGCCCGGACGCCGGTCATCCTGGACCTGTCGATGTTGGAATTGTTGCCGAGTAGCCGCGGCTGTCGAAACGACTCTATTGTTAGACGCGGCAAGAAAATAGGAAGTGACGGCCAGAGGATCCCCGACTCGTCAGAGGATCGTCGTAAATAACTTCCGACACTCGAGCGATCCGCTTGACCTCCTTGATGGAGAGAAGCGTGTGTTCCTACCCTTTGATATTTCCCGGGGGAAAAACATTTGCTAATTTTTATTTGCTTCTGAGGTATCTTTTGGATACCTTATATATGCATAACATGTTTTCCTCGCTTCAACCCTTGGAATATATTGGCTCAGTCCGATGCTTTAGGTTGAAAATATCCCACATATATAAAGCTGGATTCACATTTCCGACGGTAAACAGGATCCGTCAATCCTCCGTTTGACCTCTCTCTCTCTCTCTGTCTTTCAATGCTCTCGCATTGAAGTATCTATAGCATCCATCACCGTTATATTTTAATCGTTTCTATAGAAAAAAAAATTATGGACTTGTCCGTCACCGACGTAGACGAACAATGTGGATCCAGCCGAGTCGCAGATTCCGTATCGCGAGCCCCCTCAAACACCATTTCCCACCCCCGTAGAATTCCGTAGCCGCAGATGTTTAACTTTGCATCCAATTCGAAACGCGTGGCAGGCAAGCACCAGGGAGCAGAGTCCCCCCTCCCCTCCTCTGTCCTTCCTTTCTCTCCCACGTGCCAATAAACCGCTGGGAAAATATTTATCGTGCCCCGATCAGGGAGAGGGAGAGACAGCATTTTGTGCCCAATTCCCGTCGATCGTCGTTAATTAAGAGGACCGGCGCCGTAGCTTCTCCCGATCGAGTATTTATCGTTTCTTTCGGCCGCGACGGGGAGGCGGGAAGTCAGGTGTCCCCGCCGATCGGACGGACCCTTCGGAACAAATTCGCCCGAGGCCGTCACCCCCGCGCCGGTCCCCCGACGACACTTTGGGGACGCTTTTTCACGACTCGCCGCTTCCCGGCTCGTTCCGCTCGTCGCAACCAGTAGATTAAAACCGATCGGGAAAGCGACTCGCCGTGAACTTTACTTCTCTTCTCGGTGTAACCCGAGCTAACCTCGCCTCGGTCTTCTTCGGCACGCGATTCCGACTTCGGAATCGCGTAATCCTCTTTGGCCGCGTAACCGGGTTTGCGAGTTTTACTCTCTTTCCGCTTCTTCGTCACCTCTGTCTCCTTTGCTCCCTCCCCTATTATTCTCTCTCCTCTCCTCCTCGTCGACCTAGCCGTTGTTGTTTCTTTTGTCTTTTTTTTTTTTTTTTTTTTTTTTCATCGGGGAAGAGAAACCAAACGCGTGCGGCGCCAGGTCGGTGGTATAACGGTGGCGATGGCGGTGGCGCATCGCGCGCGCGAGCAAGCGAGCGCGTTGTGCTCCACAAAGCCAGCGAGCTGTAACTCTTTACGTTGTGTGAAACGCGGTTTACGAAACAATCGGGGTTACGGTTGCGCTCCTCTGTGACGCCGCGGCGCGGCGATTCGCGCGTGAAAATGCAATCGCCGCGCAATTGCGGATTACGGTTTTTGCGGCGAGGTGGCCGATTGCTCGCGAGACAAGAGTTCAGACTCTCCGTCTGAACGACACGCTCGCGATCGGTAGAACCGCACACTTGCGTCACACACATGGTGAAGGACGAGGTGAAGGAAAACGAAGATGCAGGCCATTCAGTCTTCAGTTTTCCATCCGCGCCTCGCGCGCAACAGCCACTTCTTACGGTGTGCGAAAAGGAGAAAGGGGGAACAAGAACCGGTTCGGTTTTCCCGACGGCGAACGATTGTCCCTTCCTTGCAATCCGTCGAAGCGCGAACGCGTCTATTTAGCGAACAAGACGGCGAGAGGTCGAGACCATTATAAAGCGCTCGAGTTCGGAAGTAGTTAGAGCACGCGGTGGTCGGACCGCCACGACTTGTCTCAATTTACGGGGACGACGCTCGCATTCCGCGGCCCGCGCCCCGGCGGCGCTAATTTATATTAATTTTAGACGCGTATATATCCAAATTAACGCGCCCGGCGTTCCCTCGTGCTGCTTTTTCAGCATTCCTGCGTGGGACGGCTCGCCCGCGCCGCGAGTTTTCGACGCCGCGCCACCGAAATTCGAGTGACAAATATCAGGCGAACTCGACGCGGAAATAAACCGACGACATCTCTCTCCCTCTCCCCCCCCCCTCTCTCTCTCTCTCTCTCTCTCTCTCTTTCTTTGTCCTCCCTCTCTTTGTCCCTTGTTAAGGGAAAAGGCAATTTTCGGGGTGATTAGTGCGGAATTTATTGTGAAAATTATTGCCTCTTGCTCCACGAGCCTCGTATATACCTCGCAAAGGTGTATTTATAATTGATGAATTGAGATGAATGTCCCAATTAGTGGGACGGTCTCTCTATTTGTGACGATCGGTGACGATTGCGACATTTCCCGTGATAAGTCAATCGATATGGGTCCACAAAATTATTCTAAACGTATCCTTACTTCAAATTGGTATGTAATATTATCGACTACAAGTTTTCACTCAAATTGAAAAAGAGTGCATTGCAATTACAAGTATACTGTGTTGACGGTGATAGTCCAAGCTCGTCTCCATCTTAGAAGTTGATGGTCAACGTCAGGTGTCCACTTGCTAGGTCCGTAGTTATTCGTAAATTTCTCCGAGTCTCAACGTCGACAAGAGGAAAGAAAAGACAGAGCTGAACCGTCACGTCGCTGGAACGATATTCCAATTCTTTCGGAGGGAATGCGAATAAATATACTGATCTCTCCGTAAATACTCCGACGAAGCGCAGCACATGGAAAAGCGCGAGCGGTCCGAGCTTCCCAACAAGACGAACAAACTTCGTGTACTTTGGCTCAACACGTGTATTATTAATTCGTTAACTTACTTTGCCGGCGAGGTTACCCGGCCGCCGACACCGGCGGGCCGTTCACCCCGGCGATTAGTTATTTTTCGCGCATCGCCTCGTCGCGAATGCGCGTCTCTGGCGGAGACACGCGCGAAACGTCGCATTCCGAATTGCGTAGCGGTGCAACGTATGGCGGGTGCAGCCCGATATCGAGCGAGAGTCGAGCAATACCCGCGATATGCAGGTCGATGATTCGCCCATCGCCGCGCCGTCGTTGGCGCGACGGCCGCGACGGCCGGCGCGTGACCACGCGCTTTCACTCGCTCGCTCGCTCGCTCGTTCGCGCGCGCGCGCGCGCGTGCGACGAATTAATGCATCCCCGGATGCATGCAAATTCCTGCCGACACGCTCACTGAAGGCCGTCTCTGTTCTGTCTGTTTGCAGATCCCGCAGATCCCGCGATCGCACGAGCTTTCGTCGCACATCCACAATGGCCGCCTGTTTATGGTGAGTGTGTGTGTGCGCGCGCGCGCGCGCGCGCGTGTGTGCTGCGCAGAGATGTGTGCGTTCGTTATGACAGTAATTTGCGCGGACGAACCGACGGGACGGGCGATCAATCGTCGCGCTCCCGAAATATATCCCGGCTAAAACCGGGACACGACGATCCCGTGCCGGAAGCGCTTTATCGAACGTTTATCGCGATTCGCGGGAAATTGGCCAAACGGCCGAATGTGCCGAAGGCGCGGACCCTTTCAGCGCGCGTTTCGCAGGAGGACGGAAGACGTAACTTTATGTTACGCGCTTATGTGCATCGCGCGCATCCCGTCCGCATTCCCAAACGCGATAGATTAGGACGCGGGGCGACGGGGGGGAGCAAGGGGAGCAAGGGGACGCGATAGACGAGAAATAGTGCCGGCGCGGACTATCCGGTCCTCCGCGCTAAATCATCTCCGGCGACAAGAGACGTCGTGAAGTTGAACTCTCTTAAATCCGTCTTATCCGGTGAGTTATGACCGCGCGACAATAGCCGCGCGCGCGCGCGCGCGCGTGCACGCGAGTTTCTCTCTGGGAGCCTAAGCTTTACATCCGTGAGTCCGAAGGAGGTTGGTATGAGAAATAAGGAGAACAATTCACACACAGAGCACACTCTCTCTCTCTCTCTCACTCACTCACTCACTCACTCTCTCTCTCTCTCTCTCTCTCTCTCTCTCTCTCTCTCTCTCTCTCTCTCTCTCTCTCTCTCTCTCTCTCCCCCACTCGCACTGGATTACATCGGATTCGCACTATCTAGACAGCAGACGACGGGACGTCGTCAAGCCCCCGTCAAATTTTCTTTTTAATAGGAATGTGAATTGAATCGAAATGCGACGGGGTGGTGACAGAAATACTGTGGGTGCTTCGATGCAAAAGCGCTGAAGAATATTTTGACGAAGGATCGACGGCGTCCCGCCGTCTGAACGGATGCGAATCCAGCTTGAAGGCGGTTAACAAGGCGGGATCGGCAACGGTCGATCTTACCTTAGCCGAGATCTCGAGTCGGGCGATTGAATAATTTTGCGTTCGTTAGCGATCGTGAGAATGCAGCGCGACCGCGCCGACTCTGCGCATCAAATACATTTATTCGGCTTTTAGAATTTTGCTCGGACAAAAAGCGGTCGAGCTTGGAAAGCGCGCAAAAATTCCATTGCCTCTATGTTTCTATTCATGCGCGCGCGCTCGCGCGTGTTCGCAGCCGCAGCTATTTTCATAAAAGGCTCCAAGTGGTTTTCAGAACCGACGGAAATAACACCGCGCTCTTTTTTTCGGCTACGTTGTGTTGCGTTTCGCTCGCTGTTCTGTTTCTCTCCGATATATTCCGAGTTCCGCCGCTGTACCGCCGCGCTAACCAGTGCCTTGGAAGAGAATGCAGAATGCGGAAAGCCGATTCGCGGGGGATGAAGTCACGAGAACGAAGTAATCATCCTACCACACGTCTTTTTTTTTCTCTTTCTCTCTTTCTCTCCCTGCCTCTCTCTCTTTGCCCTCGATGAAACGTGGCAAGGCCACAATGCGTTTTGCAAGTGAAAGAAGAAAAGAAGAGAAGAAAGCGATCGAGATTTCCGAAGGTCCAGCGAGAACTCCTCAAGTTCGGACTTGAAGTTCCCGCGGAAGTGAACTTCCGCGTTTCACAACATTCACCGTTTCCAAGGCAACCCGACACTTCGCCTCGCGAACCGCGCCCGACATTGATAACTCTTGGTTTCGCTAAAAGTTTCGCAATTCGCCAATCCCTCTTGCCTCGAATGGCCATCTCAAATGCTCCTCGATTCAATGTTCCCGTGGCTCTCTCCCTCTCTCCCATCTTCTTGCTGGTTCGATTGTGAGAACGAGCTCGGTGTCTCTCGGAGTGGAGCTAACATCGATCGAGAATCCTCTTCTCGCGCACAGCTCTTGGACCGCATCGTCGAGACCGTTCGGTGGAACTTTTGGATATTGCTCGAGCGTATATCCTCGGCAACTTCGACGTCTCCTCCCGGACATCGTCGCTGGAGCTTTCGTGTCTCGCGCTCGGTGTGCAACGTAGCCTCCTTGGCGCTTTCGGACATGTCCGTCCATCGGCGGGCTTACGTAATTGGTAGCAGGTGGCGAACGACGGAAGGTGGTTGGCCCACGCAGACGACCACGAAGAGCACGACCGCGCTGGCGGCGTCGGCGTCGGCGTCGGCGTCGGCGGCGGCGGCGGCATCGTCGTCGTGGTCGTAGTCGTCGTTGTCGGTGTCGGCGTCTGCGTCTGCGACGGCCGCTATAAATAATCGGGGGAATCCCACGATGCCAGAAGATATCGGCGTGTTCTCAGGCGTGAGCGAGGGAGAAGAAAAGTGAGAGAGAGAGAGAGAGAGAGAGAGAGAGAGAGAGAGAGAGAGAGAGAGAGCCAGAGAAGAAAAGCACGAGAGGGGCAGAGAGATGGCACGCCCGCGAAAATATTCGCGTCTAAGACTTTCGCCTTTCGATTTCGACGGAGACGTCGCGATCGACGTCGCGTCTGATTTGTGCGCTCTGATTTTCTCGATTCATTAACTCGCACTTAAAGAAGAGAGAGACTGCTCGAGAGAGTCAGTATGACAATGAAAACGAGGCGGGCTCGTTCTGGTCGGAGGACTTTCTGCTCCCTCGTGCAGAATTTGGCTTGTGACTGATAAATGAATCCATCGATTAATAATCGAGAGATTATACTCTCGAAATTTTCCACTCGAGAAGTAGAGCGAGCCGATCAAGAGTCACTGAGATTCGAGTGACTTTTCACGTTGTGCACACCGAGAATCCTCCGGCGCCCCGTCGAGTGAACGTTTCCGCACAAAATCAAGGAGGAAGTCTGATACATCCCACTTTTGCGGGAACAAATCCCCTCCGATGGATCGAAACGTTCGCTTCGTAAGAATCCGCCCGGGAGGATCCGGGGGAAGCTTGAACGAGCGTTCTCCCTGCTTCGCGGCGGCCTGAGCGGCGGCAGCTTCGCTGTCGCTACGGACGCATTTTCACTCTCGTTTCGCGTGAGATTGCAGCTCGGGAGATCGGGGAAGGGAGCGGGGGAGGGGGGGGGAGAGCACGCGAAGCGATATTCGACACGTATCGAACGTAACGCGGAACTTACGGCCGCGAAGGCGTAAATAACGAGCGCACGGCTCTCGGCGAGAGTTCTCTTTGTCGCGCGGCCGGTGATTAATAGATACCACGGCTAGGCAGTTTTTCATCGAAAGCAGGCTTAATTGATTTCTCCTGTACGCCCACGAGACATTGTCGCGAGCCACGCCGCCGCACGGCCCGTCCAACCGCGCTTGTACACCGATCGATATCTCCGCGTTTCACAGAGCCGCAGCGTCGAGTCCTTATTATCCAAAGTCTAGATCTCGGTGCAAGTGGGTTATAGCTCGAAAGCTCTCGGGGCCGTGTTGCGTCCGCGAGCTCGCCCCCCCCCGTCGAAGCGCGTCCCCCCCCCCGTTCATCGATTGACGGAGGCGAAGAGCGACGCGAGCGTCGGGCACGAACACATTGTGGCGCGTTGGCGGCCGCCGCTCCGGCTTTTCTACGGTTGTATTCTTCTTCGACGTACAGGGAGGGTGAAAAAGACGACCCAGATCGCTCGTAGTGACGCTGGAGAGATAGACGGCTGCTCCCTCGTGTCAGCCGGCTTTTCTATTACGTGTATCAACGGCAGACGCGGTTATCTTTAACGATTTACCGCCGCCGTCGCCGCAGCCGCGTCCTCGGCGACTCCTCGGACCTCCTCGGGAACGCGCGCGTTCCTCGTCTCCTCTCGCTTATCTCCCTTATTCCGCCGCGTCGCGGTATTCGTCGCTTTGCTGGGCTTTTTATCGGCTCGAAAAAAAAAGGGAAACAATGTAGGGGGGAGGGTCGGGGGGAAGAAGTCGGGGTTCCATTTGCGCAATTGCATCGTGTTTTATCGCTCGGAGACGTTATCGGAGCAATTTCTGCTAACACATAAACACACACTTGCCTGCTAGTAGCGAGCTCTCCCGTGCCCGTTCGACCAAGAACGATAGATAATGGACGACTGTATGGATTTCCAATTTGAGAGATAACACGTGCGCTTTTGTTTCTCCCGACGATACCGTGATAAACGAGATTCAAATTCGCGCGGGAAATATTTGCAATTAATGCGAGAGCTCTCTCCCCCCTCCCGCTCTGTGTATGGTACACACGCTCCGCCGTGCCGATGTCGCGCACTCTCCTCTTGGGGAACAATAATTCAGCGCTCAAAGTTTCGTCAGATATCTCTATCGAGTCGAGAGAAAAAACCTTTGGTTCGAATTGTCAGTGGAAAGTGCGCGTGCGACACAGTCGTCAAGTAAGTGTCGTAAAGTAAAGTGAAATTATTACGCGGTAATTGATCAACTAAAAAATTACATATATCGTCAGCTGTTGAAAACTGAACCGAACTTTACGACCTAAGGCGAGTTAACTGTTCAGTTTCATTTTAGTTTCTTTCGACTTCGTCGCTTAATCGTAGTACGCCACATGTCAGGGTGGATTCGGGTCGGATTTCGGTGCTTCCTCTGGGTCGAATTCAAGCTGGTCCGACACCCGGCTATCAAGCAGGAAGAGGTTAAACTGATTTACTGCGGTTGTAGCTGCTCGATTATTTAAATACACGGGCGGAATTATTAAACCACTCGCGGATTATTTCGCGATGGCGCTAATTTCCGTCGCGGAACGTGCAATTTGTAGACGGAACATCCACCGTGCTGCGTTCTAATTTAAATCCCGATGCTAATTTGATTTGAATTGGCGCTCGACTCTTTCTCTCTCTCTCTCTCCCTTTCTTTCTCTCTCTTCCCCTCCCTCCCTCTCTCTCTTCACTTCTTCCGCCCGTCGGCCAGCCGTCGGGTCCGCCGACGATAGAAGAAGTATCATAACGGCGCCGGGCCGGGCCGTCTTGCCATACCACGCCTTTTCACTTCTGCGACTTCTCCGCCGTGTTTCCCTGACGTTGATTAATGCCTGTTTATGTACACGTAAGTCACCCACGTGCGGGCGCACGTAAGTGACGTTGACTGAGCGCATACAAATGATACGGTTTCGATTATCCGCCGCGCTACAAATATCGCGAGAAGACGCGCGCGCGTGCATTTTGCAACGGCGTCCTTGAGCGAAATGTATTATTAGACAGTCGCACGTGAAATATCGCACGTACCGTCGTCGTGAACGCAACGTTTTTTTCCTTTGTTTTTTTTTTTTTTTTTTTCTCAAAATTACTCTCAGCCGCGCGATATCCGTAACGTAGATAAGCGACGTCGCGCGGCGTCCATCGAATCGTTCACGCGACGTACTTATACATCCCTCGCCTCGATCTTTCTCGTTGCAGACAATTCGGGGGCTCGTGAAGTGTTGTCACCAGCGGGTAGCTGCTGCAGCAGCAGCATCATCAGCATCGTGCTGACGGGCGCGACGGCGCCTCTGTCTTAGCCTTCTTCTGGCAGGTGTTTAAACTACGCTGGCCACGAAAGAGGCTTCACCCGGCTGAGTATTATTCCGTCGCTGCACTAGCAATCCCACGTCCAAAGTGGCTAAGAGCGTAAGTCCCCGTCGCGCTCACCAGGAGTGCTCCAGCGGGGTGGAGGTACAGGTGCCACAGGTGCAGCAGGAGAGACGAACACCGAGGCGCATGCCTTACCTGGGGCCTGACATGACAACCCGGCTGTCCGCCATGTTCTACACGGTCGAGGTCGGGGACACCAAGTTCACCATCCTGAAACGGTACCAAAATCTCAAGCCCATCGGCTCGGGCGCGCAGGGAATAGTCTGGTGAGTAGCCCGGCCGCAGTCGCATCCTTCCACGACGCGAGCATTTCGTAGATTTCGTGTCTCCATGCGACGGAGACGCGACGGAAGTCCGAGGGAGAGACACGTGTCGTTCCCGGTGGAACGTTACCGATGCATCGTGCGAAGTATTATGGTAACTTGGCTGCCTATCAGCTGAATCGCACTAGCTGATTCGAACTTGGCTGAACGGCTGACTGTCGGCTTCGCTGTCATTGCTATTGAGAGTTGGCTGTTGCCGATGGATGATGCATTTATTGCGAGGTTCAAATTTCTTAGCTGGGTTTCAAAGTGCGCATAAATAGCAAGTCAGCATAAATAGTGATAAAAAGGTTATAAAAGTCATAAGATCACTCTTGAACATCTTTATTCGTTCGAATAAATAAAGAAATGTCGTCGAATACATGTCGTATATTTATATGCATAGACTGAGCGCGATGAAATATAAATCCTCGCGAAGGCTCGACTAACGATTCAGCCGGGTTTGCTTGAAATATTAACGCTTGAGATATTTCCTTGAGATACGACCTGCGTATCCCCAAAATCGGCAATAATACCTGAGCATCCGCGCGACGCTAGCGTCTCGTGTATTCGCCGAATAGAACGATGCACTTCGAAGGGGAGAAAGAAAAGTGATCCGCGATTTTTCTCATCCGCAATTTCGAGCGATCGACTTCGATGGCGGATCGACCGGTCGATCCCGTGGAAGCAACAGCAGGAGACACCAAGAGATTCGTCGCGGATGAATGGCATGGGGCGCCGAGTAAATCGAGCAATTCGATTCGAAGGAGAACGTCAAGATTTCGCGGGAGACGAACGGGAGAGAAAGAGGAGAGAAAGGGAGAGAGAGCGCAGAACGCCCTTTTCTTGTAAGCCGGCGACGTGATGTTGGAAAAATCGTCGCCGACGACGATTTCACGACGTGTGCTCGTCGTCGTCGTCGTCGTCGTCGTCGTCGTCGTCGTCTTTCTCGTAACATCGAGACTCGGTCTCGAAGTCGCACGAACGGGCGACGAATAGATCGAAGCTGCTCTCTTTCGTTTTTATTTGATAAATGCCCGGGCATCTCGGTATACTGCTTTACATCATATTTAAATAGTTCTAGCTGAAGGAATTGATTGAATTATAAATTAATTGAATGAATTAATTAAGTGAATTAATTGAATAAATTCTTAATTCGAAGGAATCGACGAGGATTAAATTATAATTTTGCAACCCGTTTCGTTTTAGTGAGCAAGCTAGCTTTGTAAGCTAGCGGGAAAATTCGCTTAAACGCGATCTTTTTTTTCCGAATTTTCAGATAAATATCCTCGGACTTCCAGCGGGGAGTGTCGCACTAAATTTTCAAACTTGCTCTTTACATAGACCCGATCTATATTGCCGGTGGCTAATATCCTCCTTGCCTTCGCTCTATTGATTATTAGCGGCTCAGAACGCGAGTATATGTGTGTGTGTGTGTGTGTGTGCGGAAGTGTTGGAGAGCCAAACTCGAGAATTGTTGAAATTCATAGCGAACGGTATCGATCGCGGATGAGCTATGGGTAATGGGAGAAAGGGACCATACGAGAGTCCACGTGAGCGTTTCTCCCGGAGCGTTCTCGGTTGCGCACGTGTCTCGCCTTCTGACGTCCAGTAGGGACTGAAATACTGCATTATATCCGAGAAAGCGCAATCTCGAACAATACATGGTGTGGCCGTAGCGTGCAGTGGGGTGGCAGGTAAGTCGAGGGAACAAACGAAGCAACGAAAGAACGAATGAACGAAGGAACGAATGAAGGAACAAACGAACGAACGAACGAACGAATGAACGAACGAACGAACGAACGAACGAACGAACGAACGAACGAACGAACGAACGAACGAACGAACGAACGAACGAGCGAACGAACGAACGAACGAACGAACGAACGAACGAACGAACGAACGAACGAACGAACGAACGAACGAACGAACGAACGAACGAAACGAACGAACGAACGAACGAACGAACGAACGGCCGGTCGGCTGGCCGACCAGCCAGTCGAAGGGAATGCGGGGATATCGGTTTTCGATAAAATTCCGGACCGGTGCGGTCCATTACGGACAACATGCGAGTCCCGTCTCGTCTCGTCTCTCGAGAAGCGAGCCTCTTTCAAGCTGTGAAGGAAAGGAGTCATCCTGTGCACAGAAGGTAGGTCAGGATGTGCGAGGAAATCGGCTAACGACGGCCGGATATTATTCCGGCTTGGAATCTCCGTGACTCGTGTGTTAACCCCGACGATGATCGATGAGAAATGTTGCGCAGAGCGGGAAAATTGCCGATAATATTAAAAAATTTGCATTGCTTACCAATTAAAACAGTACGTCTCTCTTTATCTCTCTTCTGTTCACAATCGTACGTTATATCGGACTTTAAAGTCGCAGAGTTTCTTGAAGGCGGACGATTAATGATATCTTGAAATCATTAATGGCCAGCGAGTGTGCCTGCTGGCTCTTTACCATTATATAAGATATAAAAGCGGTGGAGAAAGAGAGAGAACACGGAAAAGACAGAGAGGGAGAGGTTCGCGTTTAATCGCGTTCAGCCGGCCGTCGAATATACGATTTCTCAGCTGACGAAGCAACGGTCTTGGTGCGCCGACAAACGACGTTCCTGAGGCAGGACGACAGAGAATGTTCCGTCGCGTCGCCATGTGAAGAACTATTCATACTCGCGATTATGAACATTCGGTGGAAAAATCTACCGCATGTGCCTTTCTCACGTGCTTTTCTCCCGTTGTGTCGAGTGCGCTTTTCTATCGTACCTCCGCCATCGGTGCCGCTCGTTATTTCTCCGGTTTAACTAACGGTGCTTCGACATCGAACTCGTCCGCCAATCGTGCCATCGCTTAACGAGCTGCGATATTTCACAAGAGCGGGATGTTCCTCGTAGAGTCGATTTTTACGGCCGCAACGCGCGCATATATGTCTCTCCGTCGATTTTGGAAACGCTTGGAAAAGTTACTCGGGCCGCGAGACGATCTAATCCTTGAGATCTGTTTCTAAAATTGTGAAGAGTATCATAGAGGATCGTCTCAAGAGGGCAAATCAATTGATCCGAACGTATTTTTACATGAAATTTTATTTATTTTTTTTTTTCATGTGGCTCGCACGATTCGATGGTATGACGAGTATGAAAAAAAAAGATATTCCCCGACAGGCTGAATCAGTTTGCTTGATTGTAAATTAAATAAATTAAATAAAATTTAAATAAAATTTTATTCTCTTCGTACGATTTAACGGCATGAAGAATACGAAAAAGGCGATGCTCCTCTTCTGAAGATAACGAGCGGCACGCGGGGTATACATCATCACAGTCGCGTGTCCCATGTTCACCAATTATAATTTTACTTTTGCAGCTTCGCTGATTTGCTTGTTCCCGCCTGGTTCTTGGATCCATCCAGTCTCTCTCGCATCTAATTGGTTCGCCAACGCGAGCAGGCGCTCGGGAAAAGCGCATAAACTGTATGGATGGTTCCGACAATCAAGCACACGAGAGTCGTCGCGGCGTGAACTCAAAGGGAATCCGAGAGATCTTTGAAGGATTGCCAGGTGGAATGGCCTAACTCGCTCGCTCGCGTTTCGAGTTCGTTCCAAGAGTTATACATCACGCTCGTTTATCCTTTGAGAACACTGTCGGTGACGTTGTTGCGGCGGCCGACGGAGAAAAATCACGTTCCGCGAAAGCCGCGTGGAAATTTTGCGCAACCGCTGCCCTCTTCTCCACTTAGCGACCCGGCAGCGAGGCGCGAAGTGTAATTTAGTGTTTCTATATGCGATACCACTCGCACCCTCTCGCACAAACTTGCGTTTTCGCGCATAAATAAAGCGTCCGAGTTGCGTAGCACGAAGTCTTGCGCGCGCCTTAAGACAAATTGTAATATCACGGAGATAAATGACCGAAAAGTTGGATCTTCGATCGCGCCTTGTGAGAGCCTTGTGGTCGCCGGCAGCGCTTGGCAACCTCCGAAATTTTCTCCGTCGCTGCGTGGCTTTATCATACGATCTCCTTCTCTTTTTTTCGTTTGCTGCATTATTGTTAGTCCTTGTCGTTAATTTGGTAGCTACGGTCGCGGTATATCGCTTAAAATTAAGGCACGAGAGGGAGGGAGGGAGAGAGAGAGAGAGAGAGAGAGAGAGAGAGAGAGAGAGAGTGAAAGAAAGATAAAGATTGAAAGAGAGGGAGAGAAAGAGAGCAGAGAGAAAAGAGACGAGGCAAGAGCGAACGAAGCTCAAAGAGCGCGACCTTTAAGGTAACACGATGGCGACGAATCCGACAGAATCGAGCAATGTTAGAAGCGGCTATCGTCACAGCATTTTCGGCAACACCGTGTTTTGCATGCCCGAGAGATACGTCGATGTCGTGCCACGTGGCATCGGCGCTCAGGGTACTGTCTGGTGAGTAAACTTCTTCAATGGCCCATAACGGCATTGATCAATGCGTGTACGTGCCCATTTTTAATATCGTCGCTGATCTAGATAGATCGTTTTGCATTAAGGAGCGCTTGTGGAGTATAAAAAGTAATTACTAAAGTGTAAACAAAATTTTTTTCTCTTTTCTCATTATTATTATTTACTCCATTTATACAGTTTTGAGTAAATTTCCTTTGCATTTCTTTCTGCGAGAAAGAGAGAGAAAGAGAGGAGAGAGAGAGAGAGAGATAGAGAGAGAGAGAGAGAGAGAGAGAGAGAGAGAGAGAGAGAGAGAGAGAGAGAGAGAGAGACAGAGAGTATACGCCTCTCTCATTTCAGTTTTGTTTCCTTCTAAATCGCGTTAGACGTAGGTACGAGGTTGTAACTCGTCGGAAGCAGCTAGAAACACAATTCAAACACTAGCAGCTTCTTTTTTCTCTTAAACGCTCGGTTGTGTTATCAAGGTTCGAATGTTGATTTTAACAAGACGTCGAGGCTGTGAGGTCGAGGCACGAGGGAACCGACCGCGATCGAATATGAAGTGAACTCGACTGACCAGTCGGTCGGCGTCTCTGTTGCAGCGCGGCGTACGACACTGTCACTGCGCAGAATGTGGCGATCAAGAAGTTGTCCAGACCCTTTCAAAACGTGACACACGCGAAGAGGGCCTACCGAGAGTTCAAGCTGATGAAGCTGGTCAACCACAAAAACGTGAGTCTCTCTCGGCCTCGGCTTCGTCCTCGACGAGGACCCTCGACTGTACATTCCCTTCCTCGCCGTTCCCGCGCAACGTGCCTACGTCGACTATCTAATTCGCCGAGAGACCTAATCCACGTCGCTGTCGTCTCGTTGCAGATTATCGGTCTCCTGAATGCGTTCACGCCGCAGCGGTCTCTGGACGAGTTTCAAGACGTGTACCTGGTGATGGAGCTCATGGACGCGAATCTGTGCCAGGTAATCCAAATGGATCTGGATCACGAACGGATGTCCTACCTCCTCTATCAGATGCTGTGCGGCATCAAGCACTTGCACTCCGCCGGCATTATTCATAGGGTGAGTTCGTCAAGCGTTCATGCCGCGTGTTCTCGTCTCGCTCCCGCCCCGTTCCCTCCCCCTCGCCCTCGCCCTCCCCACGATGAAAATTGCACAACGACCGGGCCGTTTAATCTGCCGTAACGAGATTCATTAGCGACGCCGCTGCTACCGTTACTGCTGCATATTGCGCGCGCGCGCGCACTTGTTTTGTTACGCGGCGTTTGTCGTTTGTCGCCAGCGAAAGAAAATTAGCGTCGCGTCGTTCCGATTAATTCCACCCGGCCGTTCCTGCCGCCGCGGACCGTGACGCGCGTAATAGAATAACTAAGGGCGATGTCGCTCATTAAAAATGAGAACGTTGTACAACCGCGCTTGCCGCCGAGGGTTTCAAATTCACGCGGCCGGGCGCAGCAACGAACGCGCTACGAATGTACCTCGTTAATTCGCCATTCTGCTCAAAAGACGAGTGGCCGCGTGTCATCATTTGATTCGATTTCGCCGGGGGTCCGCTCGCGACTCTTCAGCCCGCGATTCCCGCCTCGAGGTGATTTCCTGAAATGCTTCACGAGACGTTCGGAAAAGCGAATCCATATATAGCGATAGACGACGACAACACCAGTCTGGATGAAGATTTCTTTTCGTTTAACTACTGACATTATGTAAGATTCGGGTCTGTATCTTGCGCAGGATTTAAAGCCGAGTAACATTGTCGTAAAGTCGGACTGCACGCTGAAGATCCTCGACTTCGGCTTGGCGAGGACCGCCGGCACCACATTCATGATGACACCTTACGTCGTCACCCGATATTATCGGGCACCAGAGGTGAGTCGAGTTTCTTCTCCTCAGCGGCCGTGGCTCTTCGCTACCGCCGACTTTATCGTTCGGTTTTTTGTTCTACGCTCTCTCGTCGCATCTTGACAGGTGATCCTCGGCATGGGATACAAGGAGAACGTGGATATCTGGTCGGTGGGCTGTATCATGGGCGAGATGATACGGGGCGGAGTGCTCTTCCCGGGCACGGATCATATCGATCAATGGAACAAAATAATCGGTAAGACGGCGCGTCGCGTCGCGACCGCGCGATCATCGCGGTCCGAGAAGCGGGGAACGTAGCGAGCGGATTCTCGAGGGAAAATCGAACGCAAGAATCGTGAACGCGCGAACAGGACTCGAGTCACCAGATGTCTCTTCAGCTTCTTCAAGGGCGAATTTGTTAAAGTCAGAGGAAATTGATAAAATTTTATTTTAAACTAATTTATATATATATATATATAGATATGACATCTGCCATTTCCTCTTTTTATGCATAAAGATGCAATTTGATAAAACAGAATATCTCTCTCTCTCTCTCTCTCTTTCTCTCTTTTGTGGAATTTTCTGCTGAATGTTTTTCCACGCAGTATTTTTTCATAACACATTGTGTTTTCAGAATTGTTTATTATATCTGCGTCGATAGCGTTTGAATTGAAAAAAATTTCTACGTATTTAAATGTATACGACGTGTACATCGGTGTATTAAAAAGTTAATTTAATTTTTCTCGATTTCCCGCGAGTGTTTCCGCGATCTATTTTCCGCGTTCAACTCGAGAGCAATCGTGATTTTCGTCTCACGCTCTCTCTTTCTCTCTCGTTTACAGAGCAACTGGGTACTCCGGCGCAGGAATTCATGCAACGGCTGCAGCCTACTGTCAGAAATTACGTGGAGAACAGGCCGCGATATCCGGGCTACCCCTTCGAAAGGCTATTTCCGGACGTGCTGTTCCCCTCGGATTCGTCGGAGCACAATAGATTAAAAGGTGAGTAGGTCACGAAGTCGACGTCCGCGTCGCGGAATCGATCGGGACACGCGTGCCGACGGACGCTTTTCGTCGACAGCAGAGGGGAGGAAAGGGGAGAAAGAAAAAATGAAAAAAAAAGACAGAGGGAGAATTTCCCGCACTTCAAATCACCCTCACTCATTGTCCCGTTGGTTTTTGCTTTTTTCCAGCGAGTCAAGCCAGGGATCTATTGTCGCGCATGCTCGTGATCGACCCGGAGCGACGCATTTCTGTCGACGAGGCGTTGCTGCACAATTACATAAATGTCTGGTACGACGAGGGAGAAGTTAATGCTGTAAGTAGGCTCTATCAATTGATCGCGATTCGCATCTCCCAATCGGGCCGGCAATTTCTCCGATTGCTTTCGCTTGATGTGCTGCGCGACGCAAAGATACCTCTCCGCGAAGTGCACCTATCGCGGCGATAAAGTCTAACGCATTTTTCACGCGGCGATAAAAGAGAAAAGTCGCCGTAAAAAGCTCCAATCCGTTTTCTTGCAGCCCGCACCGGGACCGTATGATCACAGCGTGGACGAGAGAGAGCACACGGTGGATCAGTGGAAGGAACTGATCTACCAAGAGGTCATGGAATACGAGACAAGCCACAATCCTGCGGCGGTAGCTGCGTCGTCAGAGAGTTCTGGAAGCCGGTAGATACAGCGGAGCCCATCAGACTCCTTCTCGTCGAGGAAGCATCCCGACAGTCTGACTTATCGCGTCGACATTGCCGAAGCGTAGAGAAGGAGAGAGAGAGAGAGAGAGAGAGAGAGAGAGAGAGAGAGAGAGAGAGAGAGAGAGAGAGAGAGAGAGAGAGAGAGAGAGAGAGAAAGTGTGTGAAAGAGAGAGGGGGAGGGGGGAACGCAAGAAAAGAGAAAGAGAGAAAGAAAAAGGTCCAAACGAAAGGAGGCAGGAAAGGAGGAAGGTGCGTCGACGTCCACGGGATATCGGACGATACCGATCTCCCTCTGACCTCTCCTTCGAGAAGGCAAGAAGAAACGTGCAATGAAAAAGGAGCAATGGAACGAAGCAATGGAAAAGGGAGAATACGAGAATAGAAGCTCACTCTGTTGAGCGCCGCCGGTCTCGAGAATTCGCGGAGGGCTCCCTCGGGTAGCGCGCGCGTGACCGAAGCAGCGTGTATCGTGCAAAATAGGCTGAAACTGGTCTCTGAGACGTCGTCACCACGTCGTCGACGAGGAGCGCGCATTCACTCGCTCGCTCGCTTGCTCGCTCACTCACTCACTCACTCACTCACTCACTCACTCACTCACTCAATCAATCAATCACTCACATACTCATTCGCCCGCTCACTCGATCTCTGCACGGGATCTTCTTTCTTCTCTCTTCCCTCTCTTCGCCGGCTGACCTTCGTTGAGAAGCAGAATCCGAAGGCAGTCCTCCGCAATGAGAACGAGATTCGACAGAGAGAAAAAACGCTCCTTTTCCGCGGAGGCGAACCGCTGTGCGGCACGCGATCCACTCCCCAGGACACATCCTCCTTGCTCTTTTTCATACATTTCATACAAGGCCATGGAAGTTAAGAGGGCAAAACAGGAGGGAAGCGGGAAGAAGAAGAAGAAAAAGAAGAAGAAGAAGAGGAAGAAGGATCGCGCGTATTCGAAGAGGATTTTTTTGGGATATTTTCCCGTGACACGAGACGCGCGGTCGCGGTGACGCGGAGTCACTTTCGAAGAGAAGAGGATTACGAGGGAGCGAGCGATTGAACTGCCGTTGGACGAAGTTATCGTTGCAAGTTGTCGTCCCCTCAACTACTGCCAACCTGGGTTGGACAAGGCCCTCTCTCTCTCTCTCTTACCCCCTCGATTCGTCTCTTCGATCGACGAGCGCGCGCTTCCCGAGCGCATCTCCGGAGTGACACGCCTTTCCTCAGAACCCTTGTCTCACGGCACGATATTTCTACCGCAGTCCCTTCACCGCGTCCGCTTGACTGTCTGTCTTCTTTGGTACGAGTGCCCTTATTCGCTGTTCGATTCAAAAAAGCTGCGCGCAACCGTCGGTGGCCATGCACGGATCGCTACGTTTCGCGCCGTGCCGTTGTTTCCGATCTGCCTGTCGTCCAAGAGCATTCGGGCGACGCTCTCACACAGTGCATTTTATAGCAATAAAGTTGACGTGGGAGTGCGAAATCAGGATAGAAATATCGTCCTTCGGGAACGAGGTTTTCTCCAAGTCTTATCATCGTCGGAGCTGGACCGTCCCTTTAATTCTCATATCCCGTTTCCGATGCTGAGCGTTACATAAGGACGTTTAATCGATATTCGGGCTGTAAGGTAAGGAGAATTGATGACATGTGCAATGTGTCGACAATCGACGATCGGCCGTCGTCACCGAGGGGAGGACCGATCGAGCGCGTTTATCGTTTGCGCGCGGACAACATATATACATATATTTTTCGTACCATTGTTAAGCACGGGAACACACACTTCTCAATCACGTATATATTATAACGCGACTATCCTACGAATTTTGGGTACGGTGTCACGGTACAAAGACCACGTTAAGGCGATAAGGAGAAATTTATCACAGAGCTTATAGTCGCTCGATCGTACCCCGTCGGTCGCGGCGCACGATCGTCGTGAACGATCCGTTGAGACGTCAGGCGAATTTCATTTCGTTGAAACTGCAAATCGCTTCGAGCGAGGGAGGAACGAGAGAGAGTTCGGTATATATATATAAATATATATTATATACATGTGTGTACATTAATTTTGTGAACCACACACGGTTCTCTATGTACGAGACGCGTGTGCGCGCGTGCGAGCGCGAGCGCGAGCGTCGCGCCCTCGATGATGAGCGCGGCGAGCGCGAGTAACGCGGGGGGAAAGCCGAGAGGCGACACGTTTTTGCAAATACCGAATCTCGAGTTGTTGGAGAACGACCGACGAGATGAGATTTTTGTACATATAATAATTCCCGCAGGAAAGAAAGGAAGGAAGAGGAGAAATAAGGAGAAAAGAATAAAAGAAAGGAACGCTGCACGTGCCAGAACGCCGCGAACCAGAGTGTCTGTGCGATCTCTCGCGACACCAATTCTTCTCGTCTCCGCTCTGTGCGCTTTCATCTTAATCGTCATCAGTGCCAGTAACGGATGCAATCGAGTATTCGTTATTCATATCATTTCGTAAAATCGTTAAGGGATTGCGGTCGCTGCTTAATTTTAACGAAACGAGTCGGCAGAAGGAGAGAGAGAAAGGGAACGAGAAAGGTAGGAAGAGAGAGAGAGAGAGAGAGGAGAGAGAGAGAGAGAGAGAGAGAGAGAGAGAGAGAGAGAGAGAGAGAGAGAGAGAGAGAGGGGGAAAGAGAGGAGAGACGAGCCAGTGCAATGTCACAACGATCGATCATGGTAATGTAGCGTCAGGTACTCTCCGCGATCCTGCAATTACCGATTATATTCTTAGCTGAGGTATAGTAGGTAGTAGCGTTAATCGATACTTGTATCATCCTCTTCTCGTGCAATCTCGCGTGCGACGTGCACGACGAGCGGCGACTGACTCGCTCACGGTGCTTCTAAAGGCGTCTTGCAATCGGCGAAAGAAACAGAGCGATTCGAGTGACGGGAGTCGCTGAATCGATGCAATAAGTCGGTATAGGCGAAGATATATCCACGCTATAAATCATTCGCACGCGTCAGCGAAGTGGCGGCGAAGAGACGATTTCGCGCTTTAAAAAAAAAGGAAAAAAAAAGGAAGAGAGAAAAAAGAATCCGTTTTGCGAGGACACGAAATCCTCGAGGACGTTTAAATGAATTTTTATTCCCTTCTCGAATTGTGTGTATGTTTCGTATTGTGATGTACGAAATACGTGCAGTAAATGGACAGGGTTAGAGGGAGGGGGGATGATACGGGGATGGGTAGGGGGAGCGGCGTTCGTTCTTCGACAGAAACGCGAAGCGGCGACAGTCGTGATTAATGGACCGAGCGAGAGGGCTGGGGCCGGGTTGGTAGGGTCGACGATGCTGACGATGATAATGACGATGACGTAACGACGACGACGAAGACGACGACGACGGCCCAGTTGTCATGCTATACGAAATGTAATTGTATTTATTACGCGAATCGACGAGGAGAACAGGAGGAACCTATTACAAAAATACCGAATCGACGATGGTGATGAATAATTGTATAATGTAAACGTTAAAATTTTTATTTTCCACGACGATAGTTATGTGAATATATTGCTACAGTCCGATCCAAATATAATCAAGCTTTTGTAACACTAATTATAATAAAAGTCTAATGATGATACTGCTAATCACGTAATTGTATCGCACACACGATAATTAAACGAAAGAGAGGGAGGGACAGGGAAGGAAAGGGAAGGAAAGGGAGGGAAAGAGAAGGAAGAGAAAGAAGTACGAGCTATACAAACGAGTCTCGTTTTTCGCGTATACGGAGGAGAGCAGTAGGCCAAAAATCTTTACAAATTCAAGCCGAGTTGCCGCCATTGGCCCCGTTATAACTGAACCGTTAGAAAGACTCGTCACCGTTCCTTTTCCCCAGAGTCACATTTCTCTTGCATATTGACCGTGTATAGTCTCACACACACACATACACACATACACGAGATAACGCATACTTGCGAACGAGCTTTTGTCCAAAAAATGCAAGATTTACAGTGCGAGTATTCGCGCGCCGACACTAGAACGCCTCCTTTAGCGCACCACCATTTTGCCGTGCTACTCCTTTACGTCTCCGCGCGAAGAACACCGTCGTGTATGTATCTACACAGAGTATTTTGCAATAACACGTTTTTTCTAAAAAAGAAAAGAAAAAAAACAATCATACCCGCAACTCCACGGATATCGCCGTGCGCGCCATGAGAACGGACGCGTTGTCCTCCCGGCGTTCTAGTGTGTCTTCGCTCCTGCGCGTAAAAGAAAAAAATATAGACGAATCGTGAGAAAGGGAGGTTCGCGCTCCGCGCGAATCCGGGCTCCCGATTTTCGAGACCGCCGCTCGCGGATCGCCCAAACGACGTTCGGATCGAACGACAAAGTCCGAGAGTTTTGGATTCTTTTTTACGAAGTCTTTCAAGAAGAGAACACACACACACACACACATACACATACACATACATATATTCGCCTAATGACCTGCGACCCGCGCGTCTCTCGCTCGAAGTTCGAAAACTCCCAAAAACCGCCCTCCGATCTCGCACGTCGAGGCAACGTGACCATCCGAAAATAGAAGATTGCCCGATCGCCCCTTCACGATTCGTCGTATTTTTCTCTTCGCCTCGTTTTCGGAAAGACGGCATTTCATTGCACATACACACACTCACACGTGTACAAGCATATTCACACGCCCACGCTGTCGAACACTCGACATTTTTCGCCTTGTCATTTCCAATTTCGTTCCGCATCATCCCTCATATACGAGAGAACGAACGCATAACGCATAATGAAATATTTTGTGATCCTCGCCAAACATTATACGGATTACGAACGTATCCGTACGCGTACATAACACACACACACACACACACATATGCACACGTTATGTAAAGTCAATTATATTTAATCAGCGGACGATACTTAGCAGTTATAAAAGTATGCCCAGATATATCTTTTGGGCATTGCACCTGCACAACAGGGTATTTCTGCGGCCCTTCGTGCGTGTATTCACAGGGTGTCTCGTTGAACTTAAGCGAAGCAAGGAGAACAAAGTATCAAAGAAAAAAAAACTCAGAAAAAAGTTGTAGTTGTGCCAGAGTACAGAATCAGTACAGTGGGAAAGAGAGAGAGAGAGAGAGAGAGAGAGAGAGAGAGAGAGAGA